AATTTGTGGGTAACATGTAGTAATTTTATTCAAATTATTATAAGGTAAGTGATTGAGAAAGTTATTTGTTTTAAAATTACTATAAATTAAGTGTTCTATAAATTTTTTATTTAATAACCTGAAACTAATAGATAACTATTAGAATTAAAATTACTAGCAAATTGAAATAGTTATCTTAAGAAACTTATTGTATCAAATTGTTAATAAATTTTGGATGAAAAATTTAATAATCTATATGAACAATAATTAAAATTTTATATAAATATGATATATAAAACTTATATATAAATAAATTTTTACTCCTATATTTATTCTTTTTCATTGGCTCAAATGGTCGGATACGATGACAAGAGCAACCCATGGCTTAGCAGCCATTGGGGACGTGTGCATAGCCTAAGGGCAGAGGGAAGATAGACAGGCCCTTTTTGTCCTAACGACTCACACCAACCTGGCCCCAAAATCTTTCAATGTTTGGTTTGGGAAAGTGGGTCTCTCTATGATTACATTTTATTATAATACAGGTTAAGGTTTGGAGTTTGAACGTGAGGGTGTTGGTGATCTACTGACGGCGGATTATGGTACTTTTGCATGGAGACGTGTACTCCATGTATTGGTTCAGTTCAGAAGCCAAAGACACTCGGAATTTTTCTTCAACATTAATTAATTGTCTCCCTTCATATGTCAAAGTTATTAATTATATATCTTTTATACTCAAGTTAGTCATAGCTCCGATCTAAGTGTATAACAATCCTTATCCAATTATCCAAATCTTTCCTTAAAGAAGAAGCTATTATGTACTACATAATGTATTTACAAGATATTATTTTAGGTGAAACTACATCCTAACACTTAATATTATCGTAAAATATTCTTAATAAATTTATTAAAAATATAGTATGAAATATGAATTTATTAAAATTTTTAAAATAAAACTCTAATTTTCTTTTTTTTTTCATTAATAATTTTTTAATAGTTTCAATACATAAATCGCATTATTATTATAGAGTTCAATTTTAAAAACTTGAAATTCACATGTGCCTCTATCTCTACTAGAATAAAGAGAAATTTCACAATGAATGCAATATAGATTATATTATAGAATCAATCAGATTGAGTGCCAGAAATGCTAGTAGATAAAAATAATTAAAATGAAAAAATAATTCTTTAATAACTAAGAAAGTAAAGAACAGTTTTACAAATTTCAATTATTTTAGTTATTTAACCGAATTATCCTAAATAATTCAGTTAACCAAATTTGTAAACCGAATTAAAGGTTTGGTTCAAATTCGTATGTATGTTTTCTGTTTTTTTTTTTTTTTTTTTCATTTTAATCTGAAATTTTGATTCGGTTTGTACAAACCGAACCGAACACCCAACCCAACGAGCCAGCTTGGCTATGCCACGTGGACCCAAGGCGGGAAAACTCCTGTATCCCCTTTCCAGTGGGACCGGGCCCTTTTTCAAAAGAAAAAGAAAAACTGGGCTTGATAATTGGGTTTCATATTATGGGCTTTAATAACACAAGGCAATTGAAAGCCCGTTAAAGATTGCGAGTACAACACAAACTTGAGGTAAACGCCGCCACGTCAGCTCCCCTCCCCCGTAGCCTCCCCTTCCCCACGCCATGAGCTCCTCTCACTGCAAATCCCCTCGCCGCTAGCCTCTCCATAATCCCGGTGCCGAGTTCTATTCCTCTTCATCTCTTGTCTTGTCTCCGATCTCACACTCCTCCGGCGTTAGAAACAAGCTTCGTTCACTTCACTCTCCCTCTTGGTTTCAACAGCAACCATATCAATGGCAGGTGGATCAGTCGCCGCTGGTCGCAGCGGAGTCAGAGTCGTCGTTGTCGGAGACCGCGGCACCGGAAAATCCAGCCTTATATCCGCCGTTGCTTCCGATTCCTTCCCTGAGTATGTCTCACCCGTTCTTCCTCCCACTCGCCTCCCTGCTGACTTCTTTCCCGATCGCATCCCGGTCACCATCGTTGATACCTCCTCCAGGTACGCATACGTTCATATCTTGCATTATCTTTATCGGAATAATCTTTTTGCTCCGAGAGTATGATTATCGATCTTAATTCGTTGTAAATTCACCGAAAATTTGAGATTAGTTAATTGATTCCGTTACTTAGATTTGAATTTAAGGTTAGTGCAGTTGTGGTGGTTGTGATTGATGCACATATAAGAACTTATGCAGAAAACAGGTGTATTTCTTTTGATTGTTTTATATATTTTTCTGGCAAAACTAGTTTTAGTAAGAGTCAAACTTTGGTAATTTTTCTCCTTAGACTTGAAGGGATTGTTCGGAAAACTAAAGAAACTGTGTTATTTACATGGTTTGCGATCTTGTTCTTCTGAATTAAATATTGATTCTGACTTCCATGCTTTTGTAATTGCTGAGATATTGGTTTTCCCTTCTTAAAGTATTCCAGCCTTTTTACTTTAGAATTGAATATATCCGTTTTCTGAAATTTTCCTGTATCTCTAGGAAATCATTTCATTAAATGTGTTAATATTTCTGCATTACCATTTACTTTTAGTGTGGAGAGTAGAGGAAAGCTTGTTGAAGAGTTGAAGCGTGCTGATGCAGTGGTATTAACATATGCATGTGATGATTCATTGACACTTACTCGTCTGAATACCTTTTGGCTTCCTGAGCTTCGTCGCCTAGAGGTTTGTAGTTGGAAATTGGGATGCTTTATTGACATAAAATATACTTTAGTGTCTTCAAAAAAATGACTTTGCTTTCTTTGATTGATTTAATAATTATCTCTGGATAGATCAAGGCTTCGGTGATTGTGGTTGGATGCAAGCTAGATTTGCGAGATGAGCGTCAGCCAATGAGCTTGGAGCAGGTCATGGGACCTATCATGCAACAGTACAGGGAGATTGAGACTTGTATAGAATGCTCAGCGGCTACACTAATTCAGGTCTAGTGTTATTATTATAATTTTAGGTTGACATATTAAGTCTCACTTTTTTTCACTGTGTCAAGTTAATTTCCCCATCGTAGGGTTTTTACCTTAGCAATTTGCTCATGATTATACTGTCCCAAAGGGCATTTTGGGAGAAGCTCCAGGTCTTCTCTTGTCGTAAACTGTATTTCTCTTATATTTTCATTGGATGAATGGCTTACCAAGCTAGTGTCGGTTTTCTGTTTTTTAAAATGTTTATGGTGTGTGTACATATTCAGATATGGGATTTGAAATCTGAAGTTTGAGTATTTCTTGTTTGTAGGTCCCTGATGTTTTCTATTATGCTCAGAAGGCTGTACTTCATCCAACGGCCCCATTGTTTGACCAAGAAAGACAATGTTTGAAACCACGGTGTATCAGGGCACTGAAACGTATATTTGTTCTTTGTGATCATGACATGGATGGTGCTATTAGTGACTCAGAGTTGAACGAATTTCAGGTAACTTTATTTGTTTGGAAGTCTTTTTGTTTCAACCATAATGGTTTTTATTCTTTCTCTTGTAGTTTTGACACATGTCATGATGCTTAGGTCAAATGTTTTAATGCTCCATTACAACCTGCTGAGATTGTGGGTGTTAAAAGGGTGGTTGAAGAGAGGATACAAGGAGGGGTCAACGATCTTGGTCTTACCCTGGAAGGCTTCCTATTTCTTCATGCTCTTTTTATAGAAAAAGGGCGTCTTGAGACAACTTGGGCTGTACTGAGAAAATTTGGATATGATGATCATTTAAAGCTCAGGGATGATATTCTTCAGGCTCCAACTAAGCATGCTCCTGATCAGGTAATCACTATTATATGAAATTAAAACCTTTAGTTCTGAAATTTATTGTATTTACTGTGCTTTTCTTCTTCAGAAGTGAATCAAGAAACTGAACAGTCATGAGATCTTGTCATACTTGTTAAAAAATTCAGAAGGTTTCTTATAGTTGGGAAACCCCAACTATTTTTAAATTTAGGTTACCCAGTATTAATCCCACTCACCCTTCTCAATGTTTGTATGCGTGTGTTTGTAATGCATAATCTGCCTTATAAAAGTATACTTGTGCTTGTGTACTGAACTGGACTCCAATTTTACTGTCATACTTCCCTGCTGGTCGAGTTCCTAACCTCTTAATTCAATAAGGTATATGTTTTTTGGGTTTCTTTGTGATCAAAAGGAAGAGGGTTCTCTATCAAATTTGTGAATGCTTGTGCTAAGCAAGATTTGACGTAGTGGTTACCACAGTAGATTATGTTTATGTGAGTTGTACTTCCTGGATCACATTTATTGAGAAAATATGGAGTTCTATTCTGTACATATCTTCAAATACTATATTTTTACTGGTTTGTGGAATCTTGTTACTTATGATATCATCCATTCCTTCCTTTTCTTCCCTAGTAATAATTCATACTAGCATTTTTTATGGCTTTAAAATTTTTTTACTCCATACAATTTTAACTTTCATAGAATCTTCTTTTTCTTGGGATGATGATGTACTTACTTCTAGATTTCTTGTAGAGCGTGGAGCTAACCAGTGAAGCTGTGGAATTTCTGCGTGGTATCTTCCGACTATACGACCTTGATAATGTAGGTACCAATATCTCCCAAATTCTTGTCTCTTGAGGCTTGCCCAATAGATGTAAAATGCCTCAGCCAAGGGTTTTTTTTTTTTTTCCTTAATTTTTTTTTTAAATCAATTCTAACAATTTTGTTATGGTAATGATGGACAATGACTCTCTTTGCCTTGATTTTGAACTTATCAGGATGGATCCTTGCAACCAGCTGAACTTGATAATGTATTTGTAACTGCACCAGAAAGGTAACCTAGTTACTCATATATCTTTCATTGGTTGAATTAAATAGTTTGCATTTTACTATGTTTATGTCCATAACTTGTACTTGGATAATTCAGGAGATTCGGCACTTTAATACCTAGGTTGAATTGATGGGGGTCCATGGCTATGTATTTATTTGATCAGCATTTTTACAAATCATGTCAAGGAAACCCAATAATTCTTTTGGTTCCATTATTATTTATATATTTCATAAGTATTTCTATCCTAATTCTAGTTCTTCTATAAATAAATTGTAAGACAGTCTCTGGATCCTCTTTTAGCAGAGCATCAACCCTGGATTTCAGGGAGTGGGTGGCATTAACAGCTTCATTCTACCACTCTTATATGTCAAAATAGCAACTACATGTTATGTGCCAGACGTTTGTCTATAGTTTTTTTTTTTTTTTTTGGGTTAAAAATACTTGGATGCTGGACCATAAGCTCATTTTATTCTTTATGCCTTTTCTGTGATTCAGTCCATGGGGTGAGGCTCCTTATGCCAATGCTGCCGAGACAACAGCTCAAGGGAGTATAACTCTTAATGGGTTTCTATCTGAGGTTTGTATGCTAATAATTCTTTCCCAATTTTTACTAGTTTTATAATGCTCACAGGCATGTTTATGGGCTAAATCAAATGTTTTCATATTTTATAAATTCTTTTTTATATCATAAATTTGCTTCATTGGGAAAGGCAGAGCCCACTGATATAAACAATGCAACATCGTGGGGTCTAAAGACACATATCAAGAGCATTGTTCAATGATTTATATGATTTATACAAAGCTTAGTTATAGTTGTTCTATTTGAATATGCGGTATTGTTGAATGCTTTAATTTGGATGTCAGTTTTTTGCCAAACAATATTTGTATAAGAATTGAAAATGGGTTCTACTTAATAGATGCTCATGTTATGTACATCATATGACGTGATTAAAACTGATGTAAGTTCACTCTCACATTTCTCAGAAAACCATCTCTACAAGAAACTAAAAAGAGTTTTTGTTACACTTCCACTGTTCATCCTGTTGAATAAAATATGATGTGCATGTTGCTGTTTGAACATCATTCAGGTATTATTTTGTTGTCTGATTCTAAAATATCCATTTTATTGGGTTATCTCTTATTGGCATTCGTTCTATCTTCCCAAGAATCTTTGAGTTGGGATGTGTTACATGTAGTTCCATTGCTTTCATCATTCTCTTATATCAAGTCAGACTTTCCAATCTCTCATCTCCGTTTTTAATCTATCTTAACTAAATTTAAAGTATGCTTCTGTTATACATATGGTTGCAGTGGGCCCTGATGACAGCTTTGAATCCAACTTATAGTTTGGCTAATTTGATATACATTGGATATGGCCGGGATGCTGCTTCAGCACTTCGTCTTACTAGGAGAGGATCTGTTGATCACAAGAAGCAACAAACAGAAAGAAATGTTTTCCGCTGCTTTGTTTTTGGTCCCCAAAAGGCTGGAAAGTCTGCTTTGTTGAATTCATTTTTAGGAAGGTGTTGACTCTAAACCACTGTGATCTGTTAATGAATCTTGCTAGCATCTTCAACTGCCTTTCTTATTTGTCCTTTAAGTATCTTTTTTTTCTCTAATTAGTCGTTGTTTTCTCTAGTATATTGTCTAAGCCAGTCTTTCCATTTTGAATTCCAGGCCTTTCTCTAACAACTATTCTCCAACAACTGCTGAATGTTATGCTACAAATGTTGTCGAGCAGCTTAGGGTGAGTAATAACCATACATACGTTGTGTTCTCTGTTGGTCATAGAACATATTGTGTTCTCTCATTCTGCCACTCCATTTGTTCTCTCACATGCATATATTCTGTTACATAATAGGTTGTTCTCTCTTTTCATTAATTTCTAATTCTGATGCTCAAATTGATGTAGAAGTTCATCTTCAATTAGTAGTTGCTGGCCTGATGTAACCTCATCTGTGTTGCAACTGCCTTTGCAGGGTACTCAGAAGACACTTATTTTGCAAGAGATCCCAGAAGATGGGGTTAAGAAGTTCCTTTCTAGTAGGGAATCATTAGCCGCCTGTAATGTAGCCCTATTTGTCTTTGACAGGTAAAACTAACACCATTTGATTTTTCAGGTGTTGCAACTTTAATACTGCAATTTTTTTTATTTTTTTATTTTTTTGTCATAGTTTAATTTGTGTGGGATTAGTGCTTGTTAGTTTTGTTTTTATTTTATGAATGATGGTTATTTTTGTTTATTAGGTTTCAATATTTTTCTTCCTCACCCTACTTTTTGTCTATATAATTTTTTTGTGTTGTGTGTTTGTGCTTAACTGACAGATCTTGGGTATGTGAAAATTGAACCGTGGTGAGGACTTGAACAGCTATTCAAATCTATTGGTTTTTTAGTAAATTCCTGTCATGCTATTCTCATTAGAAAAACAGATATCATGACTCACATTAAACTGCTATTTCCAGTTCTGATGAATATTCATGGAAAAGATCAAGGGAACTGCTTCTGGATGTTGCTAGGCATGGAGAGGAAAGTGGCTATGGGGTGCCTTGCCTCTTGATTGCAGCCAAAGATGATCTGGATCCATTTCCAATGGCACTACAAAATGCAGCAAGAGTATGTCTTTCACGGCTATTATTATTCTTCCCCCACTGACATACGAAGTTATGGGCTCATGCAAAAACATGCATATGATCAATGATATGCTTTGAGGTTGGATTTTAGATGGCATCTACTGATATTCAGTTTCAATTAATTATGTTTTTCAGGTCACTCAGCAGATGGGAATGGATGCTCCTATTTCCATAAGCGTGAAACTAAGAGATTCAAAAAGCCTATTCTCTAAAATCGTAAGCACAGCTGAACACCCTCATATGAGCATTCCTGAAACTGCGACTGGGAAGAAAAGGAAGCAACATCGCCACCTTGTTCAAAGCTCACTCATGTTTGTTTCAGGTTAGTTATATATTATCTCTCTTCCTTCTCCACATCTTTCCTTCCCACTTTAATAGATCTCAATGTGCCTGCATTCATGTTGGGCATGTTCTAAACTGGCCTTGGTTTCAAGTCACAGTGGGAGCTGCTGTTGCTGTTGTGGGTGTGGCAGCATATCGTGCCTATGCTGCAAGGAAGAACTCTTGAATGGGTAAGAGGTTGTCAAAGTGGACAGATGCAAATTTTGGCTCTACTAGCGAAATAAATGGTGGGTTTTTCTTGGATGAACAAAATTTCCACATTTAATCCTTGCCTGTGTATAACTATTTTTTGATATTGTTGGGGAGTAAAGTTTCCCCCCTGCTTCCCCCCTTCTACTCTTTGGGGTTATTTATCTATTTTTACACCTTAATATTACAACCAAAAAAAAAAAAAGTAAAAGTAAGATTTTTATCCTTTATTTTACCTAACACACTTTCTTAATGAAAAGAATTTTTTTCGTAACTTTTTTATATGATACTTATTTAACAATTTTACTATCAATTTTTTATATTAATTTTTTATTAAATACAGAAAAAGTAACAATTTAATAATATTTTAATAAAACTTATCAACTCTCTAAATGGTATTTTCACGGTAAAATTGCCTCTAACCAAACAAAGACCTCATAAACCTTTGACCACCTTTGTTTACCTATTCAGCTCAACGTTCAAAAAAATCTTATCGGGTGCAGAAGTTTACGGGAACCCCAACGATGTTTCTTAAAAGATCTTTAAAAATGCTGCTCTCAGCGTAGAAGGTGAAGCTCTAAACCTGTTGCTTGGTAGGTTTCTGGTTGTTAAGGGCCTGCTTAGTAATGTTGTTGTTTATTTTTTGTTTTTGTTATCAAAATTTGAGATAATTAAGAATTAAAATAAAAATAGCAATACTATACTTAATAATATTATATTATAATATCACATAAGATTCTAAGTTTACAATCATAATGTACCATTAAATAAATATGATTTATTATTAAATAAGTAAATGAAAACAATATCACGGTAAATCTTTGAATAAAAAGAATAAATTATATAAAGATATATTATATTGCAAAACTTACTACTTTATATGACACTATAATTATAATATTTTTGAATTAAAAATAAAAATTAACATCTTGTTAAGTACAAAATTTTAAAACTGATGACCAAAGTTAAACGTTTTTAAGTTTAATTTAGTAATGTGCAAGTTTTGGCAACAAAACCAGAAAACTAATATAGAGTGACAAGAT